CCTAATTCCCAGGGTAAAGAACAAAACCAGGAGTAGTCCTTGGAACCATGACTCCTTGTGCCCCTCTGCCTCAAAACAAGGTCCTGGGGAGGGGGCCAGCATTCAGGACTGTGTGTAGAGGAGAGGAGGCACCCAACTGCCTGCGGTGCCACAGGACGGGGTGACGCCCAGAAAAAGGCATGCAGGCCTCCAGGCAGAGTGCTGGAGAGTCGGGGGGCGAGGGGGGGGCTCCCTCCAGCCTTGGAGTCAGAGCCAGCAGCCACCTCTTCCCCTTTTCCACACGTGCGTGCACACACACACATTCTCACACATGACCTTGCCATTTGCACTGCCTGGATTCAGCACCATTCTCTCCTACTCCTGAGATTTTGCCTGAAATATGCTTTTATTTACCCAACAGATGCAGAAAGAGCCATTGCTGTGTGCCACACATGATTATAGGCACTGGGGATGAGGAGACAGATACAGATCCAGCAGACCCAAAGATGTCCCCAAATACACCCCAAAATAAATGGGAAAGCAATACAAACCGAGATGGAGCTATATAAACTGACATAGACCAAGGCATGGAGAGTGGCTGCCAGGGGGAGCAGTTAGAGCCCTTGAGTCTGAAAGGCAAATACGGGTGCTGAGGCTGGATGAGGAGGGCTGCCTGGCGACTTCTGGGGAAGAGCGCTTCATGCAGAGGGACCGGGAGCACAAAGATCCCGACAGAGGAAGAGTTTGCTTGTCTGAGGGATGAGACAAGATGGTGTAGCCAAGCACAGCCTGCATGGAAGATGGAAGATGCTGGCCACGAGGGGGTGGCACTGCTGGGGACTTGCCTTGACTCTGTGTGAGATCAGGGGCCAGGGAAGGGCTTGGAGCAGTGAAGCCCCAGAGTGTAAGCAGCAGGGACTGTAAAGGACAGGAGTGGCTTCCCTCCCATGATCACCTGGTGACCTCCTCCTCATCCTCCATAGTCAACCCACTAGTCACTTCCTTCAGGGAACCATCTCCACCTGTTCCTGGCCAGATCCCCTGGTAGGCTTCACAGCACCAGCCTCCCCCATCACACCTACATCTGCAGGACTTGCATATTTATCCCTGTGTTTGTTGGTTGATGCCATCTTCCCCTGAAGACAGGCACAAACCTGCTCACCTGAAGGCCCTGGCACCTGCACAGAGCCTGGCACAGAGCAGGTGTTCAATGAGTGTAAACAGAATGGGTAAGCAAATCTCAAGGGGCTCAGCCAAGGTTCCATTTCCTCATTGAATGGGTCCTATTTCTATTTCCACCCCTTTGTGCCCCCACACTTGTGTCTATCCCTCCCATAAAACCTTGCATGGCTCTATCCCTAGGCACCTGCAATGCACACACACAGCCAGCTGCCCCTCTGGGAGGCAGGCCACGTGGGTTGTCCTTCAGGGAACCTCCTCATAGCAAGTGGTGCTACTGTGCAAAGAACTGCCCCCCCCATTCCCACCTCACCTGCCCCCACACCTACTTAACCTCACCCAAGCTGGGCTCAGTAGAGTCTGCACCCTGAAGTCAGGTCAGGGGTCAAGTCTCCTCCTTTGTCCAGTTGGGCAGCATCACTCACAGACCTTCTGGCAGCAGTGAATCTCATCCTTTCCTGATCCCCTGAAGCACACGAACAGCGGGTAGCTGTTTGCCAAGACACAGTGACTGTATTTTACAAACCAAAGATCAACATGGATAGACTGAGGAAGAAGAAAAAAAAAAAAAAAAAAAACCTCAGTTCCCATAATCCAGGCCTGATGCTGTTAAAAACCACTTAATTAATCAACATATTTTTTTTAGTTGTTGATGGACCTTTATTTTATTTATTTGTCTGTGGTGCTGAGAATCAAACCCCGTGCCTCACACATGCTAGGCAACTGCACTACCACTGAGTCAAAACCCCAGCCCTAATCAACATATTATTGAAACACTGAGCTACAAGAATATTTGTTACGTAGCACTTCTTACAAGAGTGTACAGTTGAAAATAATCCAAATGTCCAGCAGGCAGTATTCAGTTAATTGTATACCTGTTCAGTAGAGTAGTCTATATGCAGAATAATAATAACAACAACAACAACAACAGTCAACACTTACTGAACACTTAACTCTGTGCTGGAGATTACATTAAAAGCTTGACAAGCATTATCTCATTCAATTCCCCCTGTGTTGGAAGTCTATCTCACATCCCTATCTCACAGATGAGAAAATCAAGACCAAAAAAAAGTCATTTGCTCCAAGTCTCACAATCGGTAGCTAGGATTCACACCCAAGTGGTCTGAGTCCTGATGCCAACCTCTTAACCATTGTACCACATGACTTCAAGTGTTGCCATTAAGAGCTAAACTATGGAAACATCCTAGGTGCCCTTTAACAGATGAATGGATAAAGAAAATGTGTGAGAGAGAGATATATATATATACACACACATATATATGGATATATATATGTACACATATATATGTGTGTGTGTATGTATATATATAAACAGAATGGGTTTAAATGTATATATACACACACACATATATATGTGTACATATATATCCATATACATATGTGTGTGTGTATATATATATATATATATATATATCTCACATTTTCTATATATATATATATATATATATATATATATATACACACACACACATACACACATATGAATATTACTCAGCCTTAAAGAAGAATGAAATTGTGGCATTTGCCAGCAAATGGATGGAGCTGAAGAATATCATGCTAAGCAAAATAAGCCAATCCCAAAAAACCAAAGGCCAAATATTTTCTCTGATATGCGGATGCTAATTCACCATAAGAGGAGGGGCTGGGGAAGAATAGGTTACTTTAGATTAGGGAGAGGGAAGTGAGGGAAGGGGAGTAGGCATGGGGCTAGGAAGGATAGTAGAAGGAATCAGACATTATTACCCTATGTACATATACAACTATATGACCTGAGGGGTTCTACATCATGTACAACCAGAAGAATAAGAAATTATACTCCATCTATATATGATGTATCAAAGTGTATTTTACTGTCATATATAACTAATTAGAACAAATTAAAAAATAAAATTAAATAAAATTTTAAAAGAGAGATAGTAGAAGCAATACTAGCTACATGGAACAATGTCTATGATATATGGTAGAGATAACAAACAGGTTATTAAACAGCATGTGTAGCCTGATCCTGTCTGTGCACATGCTGGCAAAGCCAAGAGAGAAGGGTTTGCAAAACACCTCCACCAGCAGCATCTTGGTATAGATCTATGAGTGGGTGGAAGTGCTTGTGCTTTTAATGTTTGGTTTTTTTTTTTTTTCTGTTACAAACATGGGCAGCATTGTGTTAAGAAAAAATAATTTCAAATTTTAAAAATTAATATAAATTCCAAAGTCACACTCCTTTGTACTCATATTCTGCTGAATGTAACTATTCAGCTACCATCCTGGTTTTAGGGACAGGCACAGGCTCTATGGGCTCTTCTTGCTTTTCAGGATTCAGCTTCTCCTGGGGGAAGAGACACTTCACACTACCCCCCTTAGCCAATGGCCCCCTTCCTACCCCAGAAGCCTTTCTGGGCACTGATGCCCCCAGAGAGCTGCCAGACTGACAGAACAGCACTGGGCAAGCTCTGCCTTGGGAGCCCAGCCCAGCACCCCACCGGCCTGATGCTCCTCCCCCTGTGTCTGGGGCTCTCAGGGAAGCCACCAACTGAAGGGACAACAGGCCCAAAGGCAACAGAGTGAGCCCCAGTTCTGCAGCTACTGGTCTAGTCCCCTCTTTCCTGGTTCTATGACCTTGAACAAGATTTTTCTTTCCTCTAATCCTCTTTTTGTATCTGCCAAATAAAGAAATTTAAGTATCAATTTGGAAGAATTGTAAGACTCAAATTATGTATGTATAATTATATGTATATGTTTGTATACACACACACACACACACACACACACACACACATGATGCCAGTATTTCCTGGCACCATGTCAGGCATCCCATTAACCACTTCTTATATGTGACATACATATGTGCTTCTCACAGCCACTCTAACAGGTACTGTGCTTAACCTATTCTTTATAGATGATGAAAAGAAGCCTTTGAGTGATACCAAAGATACCACTTCTGCTGGTAGTAGGGGACAGTAATTTCAGCTACCATGGCTGGTCTCATGCTATTACACAGTCCCACGCAAAGTCTGGAACATAGGAGGGACTTCATCCAGATGGTCATCATTGTCAGGGCTCACTACTGGGTCTCTGCCTGGCTTTGGAGAATAGTGTAACACTGAGAAGCCCCACTGGTTCCCTCCAGGGCCCAGAGAGCCACCAGACCATATACTTACCTAGGAAGCCTTCCTTTAGGAGTGTCCCAAACTCCCCCAAATCACACTGTCTTTGAGTCAGTTCAATGATCACAGGCAATGGCTTTGCTGCTGTACAACCAGTGGACAAATTCCTATCCAGAACTGGCCTTGTGCTCTGGCCACCAGAGCTGCTGGCCCAACAGGGACTGCCCACACCCTAGGGGTCAGTCCTGCTGGCACTCACATTTGGCATCTTTCCTGAAACCCTTTCAGCTTTTCCCCAAGGATCTGTGCCCTGGGCCTTGGTCTCCTGGTGGCTCAGCACAGTGGGCCTGTCTGGCCAGAGGGATCCACCGTGAATCAGAAAAGCAGCACCCTTTCTCAACCTCTCCACGGTTTGGCTTCCCCAAGGCAGAGCAGCAGCAGCACTAGGAAATGCGTGCAGACTGTGGTTTGAGTGTGCAAGTGTGTGAAGGAGAGCGTGTTGTGCGGTAGCGGATGTGAGACTGTGAGTGTGCATGTGCGCGCGTGGTTCCAAGTGTGCGCAGCTAAGATTGAGATCTATCCCTGGGCGGGCGGCGGGCGGGCTGGGAAGGTCTCCTCCCCCCACCACATTGAGAAATCTCAGTGAGTCACCGAGTGGTTCTGCATATTAATGAGCTCGCTCACTGCGAGGGCAGGAGCGGATTTAAAAGAGGCCAGGGCGGGCGGAGGGAGGCTGTGGAGAGATCCCAGAGCTGAGCGCAAAGCGCAGCGACAGACTGCCCGGGCACCCACTGACGGGCGCAGCTGGAGCAAGCCAAGCCGGGAGGAGTGCTCTGAGGCGAGAGAGCCGAGCCGGGCGGCCTCCCCAGGCCGCCACTTCAACCGGCCGGCGCCGTCCCCGCGTCCCTGCTCCCGCGCCCCTCCGGCCAGCATGAGGCTCCTGACCGCCGCGCTGCTCCTGCTGCTCCTGGCGCTCTGCGTTGCGCGCGTGGACGGTGAGTGTTGGAAAGTCCCCTTGTCTGTCCCGTCCTGGGGAACCTAAACACCAACTACTAGGCACCTGAGATCCTGAGGATCTGGATGGGCACCGAGGGCAATCGTGGGGTACGATATCCCTGGTTCAACTAAGCAGCCCCCTCTCCTGCGCTCTCTCCCGCAGGGTCCAAATGCAAATGCTCCCGGAAAGGGCCCAAGATCCGCTACAGCGACGTAAAGAAGCTGGAAATGAAGCCAAAGTACCCGCACTGCGAGGAGAAGATGGTTATGTGAGTTCTAATTCCACTCCAAGAGCGAGTCTGCCAGTGCCAGGGCATAGCCTGGGGCTGGGTCAGGCTAACAAACATATCCCTCTGCCTTTATCAAGGCCTTGGCTAAGGCTTTGTAATCGCCCAACAAGTCCTTAGTACGCTGCTGAGACAGTCCTGAAAGGGGGTCACTGTCCCGTGCTCCAGAAAGTGTCTGCAAGTCCACCCTTGCTAGTATTCAAACGAATAGCCTCGCAGTTTGCTATTGTGACTACCAGGGAGGGTACTAGGGCCATCAAGGGTTAAAGGGCTCCTGAATGCCAACTTAGATCACCTAGGTTGAAGTCACTCAAAACCGGCTCACACCCAAACTGTTCAGCATGCTGTCTTGCCTTCCTGCCTCTGGGGAGAGGAATAACGCCAGTATTAAGTCCTAACTTTCCTCTCAGAGTCTCCAATCTGAGAACTGTCCACTGAGATGGCGAGTTTGCAGCTTGTAGGGATTTCATTGTGAGAACACCTCAGCCCTTTCCGCAGCAGCTGGACTTCTTGCAGGTCCCTGAGCCTGAGAAGTTGGGTGAAAAGTGCTGGGTTAATGTGCCACAAGCCCGAAGCCCTGCTTGGTGGGGATGCCAGCAATGTTTAAAACTGGGGCAGAGCAGGAGAACACCGAGTTTTGTGCTCCTCCGCTTCCCAATTAACCACTTGAGGCCAGCACCACTGCTTTCCCATCAATACCCTCTTGGCCAGGAAGGGAGCCCTTGGCAAAACAGCTCCCAAATATTTGCCATGGACCATTGGTCCCTCTTCCCCTCCCCCAGAAACAGGACACACTTTATTCTCAGTCTGGGCAAGTGCTTTCCACTTGCACCGGCTGGCCCTGCTGGCCCAGAGGCCTTCACACAGTGTATGTGAAGGCAGGGCACACCCACACCCCACAACCCCCACCACCTGGGCTACAGTCTGGCCAAGGGTAGGGGAATTTAGAAAACCACTGGCCTGAGATGACCCCAACAAAAATTAACACCCTCATCCCTGGCCCTCATCTTGCAGACCAAGTCCAGTAAAGCTGCCCGGAAATCCTTTCAGGTGGGGACCAAGGAAACAAAAGAGCTGGGGAGGAGTCACAAGCCCCAAGCCACTTCCAGCTCCAGAGTTGAACATGTCAGGTGGCATTGCAAGTTGTATCTGAGAACTCGCAGGGAATGAAAACAGGGTATGGATCTCAGTGACATCTGGAAAGGACAGAATCCTCACCAGATAGGCTTGCTCTTTCCTGGCTAAACTTCTTCAGATACAGAGAGAAACTACAATCAAGGGAGTATATGAGGTAGCTTCAGGTAGCCTTGTGAAAACCTGCAGTGACCTCATGAGATCAGAACCCAGTCATCCTCTCTTAAATCATCCAGAGCACTCAGAGGGCTAGAGGCACCTCTCCCCTCCCAGATCCTTAAGACTTTCTAGATCAGACAGGGGCCAGCTCTCTTTTGCCAAGGCAGATTTTCAGTTGCAAAGGCTAAACAAAAGGAAGTTTTCCAGCTCACCCCAAGTCACCCAGAAATCTCTGCTGAGGCTGGGGGTGGGGGCAGAGCAGTCTACTTTGCAAGTGGGAGCCCTTGTACTCAGAAGGATCCAGAAGAGTTCAGATTCTAAAAAGGTCAATTTGTGTCATATTTCCACTGAGCTCTCACCGAAACCTTCAACATTCCATAACTGCTGAGGAGAGGGATGTGGGACCCAGAATTTCTGCTAGTTGCTGGGATCACGAATTCTCCTTTCTGTACTGCACAACCAATGTTCATAACCTCAGTGTTATGATGCGGCATTTCTGCACCATGGTGGGGGTGCTGAGTGTCCTTTCCTGTTTTTTCCAACCTTCAGGATTTGGAATGCTCAGCTTGCACACTGACCTAACTGAGAAGGGGATTTTATCAGGCTTTGCCATGTCCCTTCACTCAGAGTACAAAAGCAGCTTTGTCAGCATGGAGAAAATGCACGTGTTAAATTCCTGCAGGATGACTAGGTACCAGGGGGAGGGAAACACCTAGATTTCACTCTGAAGCCTGGCCCCATGTTCAGGGTACCACATGTCTCACCAAGGGTTCCAGGAAAGGCAGGACCAAAGACTCATCCCTAGGCCTGGGTTGGGGCCCTCAAAACATTCTGCTCCCATTCTGGTGGCAAGATCCCATTCTCTCTTCCCACTATTTCGAAACCACATTCATGAAAACCCTTCTAGAACTTGGCCCTTGACACTTGACTTTGGTAACCCATGGGATCTAGCTGAGCTCCCTCCCTCTCCTCTTACTCTTTTCACTCTCACTTCCAACCACCCTTCTTTGGCTCCTCAGGAAGGAAGTGGCATCTTTACCTCTCACCTTGCACTTTGCAAGTGTCCCAGGTGGACTCTCATTGTTGAACACCATGCTCCCCCCCCCAACCAGAAGCTTCCTCCTGGCTCCTGCCATCCCTCTGGCCAGCCCTGGCAGAGAGGGGCACAGCCCTGGGCAGCCAGCAGGCTCTCCTCCCTCGCCAGGCTGCAGCTCATACATCCCACACTGAGGCTTGTCTTTCTCCTTTTCCGTCTCATCTCCCATGACTAATTTGCCAATAACTATTAGCTGGGCACCTACCAGCCACTGTGCACATTGTATAGGTTATATCCTTTCGTCATCCTAGTAACTCTGTGAAGTAGGTTCTATTTTCAGATTCAGTTTACAGATGGGTAAACGGGTTCAGAGAGGTTAAGATCCTATAGCCAAACGTGGGACTCCAACTCAGGTCCCTGCACCCTGTACAAAGACACCCTGCTTCTCCACTGCACAGCGAGGACTCTGCCAGGTGTTGGAACCTAGGCTGATAGAGATCTGAGGGCTTCAGGCTGTGGAGAAGCCAGGTCTTGTTTTTCTGCGTGAAACGAGATAACTGGGACTTAACACTCAAGTGTCTAAATGGGCTTCAATAAGATTTGGCTTCAGGGTGGGCAAATGCCTAGTCCTGGGACAATCTGCAGCAGGAGGAGCTGAGACTGAAGCTTTAGACAGAGATGACAGGATCATCAGGGCACGACTTAGCCCCACCATAGGGCTCCTCAAGTCCAAGAACAAAGGTCTTGGCACGCTCACCTTGCTGGCATTAACACAGTTTGGTCCCTGACCTTTGTTCCCCAAGAGAGATCTGCAAAAAACCCACTTCTGGAGGTGCACTGGGGATGAGGACACTAATCCAGGTGCCACTCAGTCCATACAGGGCCAGACCCTAAAGAGGACTCAGAGATGAGAGGATACCAAAACCTTCCAAGGAGCCTGCCAGGAAATGAACATGTGGGTGGGTTGCCTTGAGGAAGAGTGGAAGCCAAGTCGCTCAGTGCCCTGATTCAGACAGACCAGGGCCACCCACAGGCCACTTCAGGGACCATTATTAAGATGCCTCAACCCTCTACCCCATCCTGTTCCATTGCAGCATCACCACCAAGAGCGTGTCCAGGTACCGGGGCCAGGAGCACTGCCTGCACCCCAAGCTGCAGAGCACCAAGCGCTTCATCAAGTGGTACAACGCCTGGAACGAGAAGCGCAGGTACACCCCTCTTCCCCTCCTGCCCACCTTCCCCTCCTGCGGCTCTCAGGATGGAAGGGGGTCCCCACACCAGGTCAGCTAGCCCGTCCAATGTGTGAAGACCCACCACAATATCCACAGCAAGCAGATTAACAGACACTGCTTACATACCCCCAGGACTGAGAAACTCATCACTTAACAAAGTAGGCTGGAAGCACCACAGGTTGATCCATTTGTGAATTAAGTCTGTCTCCTCCTGACTTCCACATTATAGTCTTAATTGCTCTTTTTATTTAAGTCTCATAAGCTGTCAAATAGCTGGGTGAGCACCTGGCATGGCTATCCTCTGTAGATCTTGTGTGGTAAAATATGACCACTTAAATAACCATATTTATTAACCATAAAATGGGGGGTACACCCATGAGATGATGAGGATAACTCCCTGCCAATAATGTGCTCTCTCCAAGGTCCCCATGCTGCCCAGACACCTGAGAAAACCGTTCGCATGCAAGTGCTAAAAGGCACGTTGGGTCTGACCCTTTGAAATCACAGTCACTCATGCCCAATGGGGCAGCAGTGATGAGATTGACCAGTGCCCTGGGCTCCCTGGGCTCTATTTCCCATAATCAGAAGGTGGCTTTCTGGCCCTGATCCTGTGGTCCTAGGTCTGACCTTGGAAGGGAAGGCCACCTCCCAGCTCCCCATACCACATGAAGGTGATGCTGTCCTGGAGCAGGCCACTCCTCAAGCACGCAGGGCCTACTTGTGCTTTAACCTGCCTAGCATGGCCAGGGAGTGCACAAGCTCTCAGGTGACTTCCCCATGAGCAGGTGCAACACCTCATCCTGCAGAAGAAGAAACCAAAACTAGGTGAGGAGGAGGTGGGACCTGCCTGGGAGCACAGGGCCAGGGCAGGACAAGAAGCCAGGCCCCCATGGAGACTGGCAGCCTCAGTGGTGCCTGCCCCACCCTTCCCATCACCTGGCTTGGCTCTGGTCCCCAGGCTCAGCCCCGTGACCAGCTCTCACAGCTGACACTCAGGCCCAAACCCTGCACCTGAGCCTTTTTTGCTTCCTCCCAAACTGCCACATCTGCAGTTGCTTGAAATAGAAAATGATGAGGGGACGAGAATGTTTTCTATATTCCTGATAGGAATGAAGGTTTCTTTCTGGTCAGGGCAAGCGACTCACATGGCAAAAACAGGGCCTTCCCTGTCCACTCTCTGTTACCCTCCAAGGCCCTGTGTGAAAATGGAGTGAAGCTAACCCCAGGCCCCATGGTAGGAGGGGGCTGAGAACATCTTGCTCAGGATGCTGGGAGACACTCAAATTACGTGGTCGCCCTATTTCTGCCGGCTCCACCTGGGCTGTGGCTTTAAAGAGGAGGAGGCCCCGTGGGCCTAAAGGCAGCCCAGCTTCTTCTGCAAACTGCATCGAAAGCTATGAAAGCCCGTCCGTCACCAGGCCCTCCGCCACTTCATTACACCATTAGTTCCTTCATCTAGCTCAGAGTGACGAGATGTTCTGGGAGAGGAGGGGGCATGCTGTGTCCTCTCTCCACTGCAAAGGGTTGCAAAACGTCTTACAAGGTGGAGAATGGAGATAAAGGAACTCTTTAAAGTCCTCTCGCAGAGAAATAAAATGCTGAACCAGGGTGAAGGACGAGGGTACAGGGCAGGGCCGGGCTGTGCCGCCAGGCGAGGGAGCTGAGCGCCTCTAAGGCCAGAGCTTCCGGCTGCCCTGGAAAGCCGCTGCACCAAGCCTTTTACTCAAAGCATGATTAGGTGACTTTACTCAGAAATCAGGAGCAAGACAGAGGGAGCAATGGGTTGTCTGAGTGTGAAGTGCAGCCCTGGGGTAGCCATGAATCAGAACTAGAAGGAATACTGCAAGGCAGCCGGCTTGGGAGGTGAGGGGAGAGGTGGCTCCTGAATACACATGGGCCTGAAACTGGCAGAGGTGAGGCAAGGCCGGCCAGAGGAGGTAACCACGAGGCACAGGCCCCTCTGTCACAGCCTCAGCCCCACCTACCCCTCCTCAGTCTTCAGCAAGCAGCCTCTAGAATGGGCACATTTCAAGAGGACAAACCCAAGACTGGGGAGAGCATGTCCCTCCCCGATGCCATCTTCCCAGAGTAGAGGCTTTGTACAGATGAGGACTGGATTGAGGACTGGATTGCAGCCCGCCATATTGGGAGAACCTTCCGTGGTCACAGGGCACATCTTACCTGTCCTGCAGTGTTCCCATATGCAAAGGGGTTCACTCCATAGGGTTCTGAGGATAGAAAGGCTGCGGAGGTGGAGGCTGATCGGAAAGGCCAAAGCCAGACTTGTGTGAGCTTCTGTGTCCCCCCATCACATTCTCCAAGGCGTCCCTCCTGCTCCTCAACCCACAGGCCTGGGGGAGGCTGGGAGCTGCCACCACCTGGTCCCCAGCCTCTTACACCTGCGTTTTCTCTTCCCAGGGTCTACGAAGAATAGGGTGACGGATCTTGGGTAGAAACACTTCCAGACCCGTTGGGAGACTTCAGCAAAGGACTTTACAGATTTAAATAAAAAAATTAAGAAAAAAATCCTCTCTTTCTCACAGGCATAAGACACAAATTATATATTGTTACAAAGCACTTTTTACCAAGGGTCAGTTTTTACATTTTATAGCTGTGTGCAAAAGGCTTCCAGATGTGAGACCCAACTCTCCTCCACGCCAGATTTCAACACAGGCAGCTTTTTACCGAAAAAAAGGGGAAACTCATGCCTTTCCTTTTTAAAAAATGCTTTTTTGTATTCATCCATGCGTCACCACACATCTGAGCTTTATAAGCGCCCGGGAGGAACACTGAGCTCGGTGAGACATTTCATTGCAGATCTGCTCCGGTTCTAGCTGGGGAAGCTTCCGCCCAGAGGGCCTGGCGCCTCGGCACAGCTGCCACAGCTCTCCTGGGCTTGCAGCCGGTCACAGCCTCCGTGACTCTGCAGTGGCCCCTGTCACCAGGCAAGTAGGAACAGGTCTCTCTGCATCTGTGCTTAGATCCGTTTGGTGGCCAGAGCATCATGCCTCATCCCCCACCCCCCCGCCCAGGTTCATTTTTCCACACTCTGGGAAACATTTGTGTCCAAGATCCCAAGGTGGCAAGGCCAATGGTCTTTAAAGAAGGGGTTGGGTCTTAGCTCCCACCTGAGGGTTTCTGAAAGGTTCGCTGCTTCGATATATAAGGTTTCAGAAACATGTTAGTGAAACCCTTAGGAGAAAACTTTAAAATACACAATTACATTCACAGCCCACAGCCAGAGACATGGATTCAGTTGATCAAGGGGAAGCCACCTGAGCGTCTTTCTTTCCCTCACCCTGAGGGGACATGCAATAGAAAAGCAATATCCCTGTGACTCCCCACGAAATGGTAGACAGTGCAGTAATCTTTTGGAAGCTAAGATGACCAGATGCCCTTTCCTTTGTACATACGCTCTGCAGAGTACCCCGCACTCCTTTGGTAGAGGTACTGGTGTGTTATATGCCATGTAAATGTCAGAAACCATTAGCATTGCATGCAGGTTTCATATTCTTTCTAAGATGAAAACAAAAGTAATAAAGTATATTTGAAATGTACCAAAATCCTAGACTCTGACTTTTTTTCCCTATTTAATTAATCTTGGATGTCAATAAAATGCTTACCATTTCCTAAATAAACAGGGACAGATGTATAGGCAAACAAAACTGGTGTTTCCCAAATACCTGTCGATGCTGCTGCCTCTGTGGAATGTGTGGGGCTGTCAGTTCCACTGAAAATAGGAAGCCAGGTCCCAAGGGCAGTGCTTCCCACAGGGGCAGCAAGATGATTGGGAATGGGCAGGTGGGACCAGGCAAGATGCCCTGGGATCTGGAGCCCCAAAACTCCAGTGGGGCTCAGGGAGGGGCAGAAATGCCCGGCTGAGGGGACGTGGGGCTCCGGAACCAGGCTGTTGAGGGGTGGGGGGGAACAACTGAGAGATGCTAAGGCTCTGTTTCTGCTTCTGTAAGTGGCCATGACAATAGGGCACATGCTCAGGTATCCCCGAGGCCTGACGAGAGAGGCATGCCAGGGCATGGCAGCACCTGGCAAATGGAGCTATTTTAATAGTCACAGGACCGGGCCACTTTGCATTTTGCGCAAACTGCCCGCAGCCCTGTGTTTCATTCATCCTATGTCAGCTAGGCCCTGAAACGGTCCCCTCTGTCCCCCACACTAGCAGGATTGCACAAAGGGACAGCTCTCTAGACCAGGAGGCAGGAGGCAGTCCCCCACATCCCCTTCGTCTCTGAAGATGGCTTCCTGATATGCCGGCTCTGCTCAGACTTACACAGCAAATGCTCTGTCCTAGCATGTACCCAGCAGGGTAGTATCGCCAGTCCTTCTTATCAATTCTTATTTCCTCCCCCAAACTCCAAGTTACAACATATGTATTCCTGAGGAAACTGAGGACCAGAGAGGTTAAGAAACCTGCCTGAGTTCACAGAGGTTTCTTACCAGCCAACACTGTCTCCAGTGGCTGGGATAGCAGCCTTTCTGTAGGGAAGGAAGGAGCAGGTGGGCTGAGGCCATACTGGGCTGGAGACTGTGAGCTTCCTGGGCCAATTCCATCTTCCCTTAAAAGAAGGTAGACCAGATGGAGAAGTCGGAGACCAACAGACAGAACAGGATAGGAGTGACCAACAGGATGGCACAAACCAGGGCAGGGGACAGAAGAGACCAGGCCCTCTTCCCAAAGCTCCAACAGGGCCTCATGGAGGAGGCAGGCTGTGGAAAGAATTCTGCCACTTCCCCCTGCAAAGGCCCCTTCATTTGCAGGCAAGATGGCACAGGGCACAGGCTGCTCCACGCCACCACACTATTCTGAGTGTCTAGGCTCATGCCACTCTCCTGCTCACCCTAGGCGCACTCTAAACAGGCCACAAGCTCTTCTCCACCCTCCATGGGCACTGCCCTTTTCTGCCTGTGGATCTAGCGCCAGCCCACCCTCCCCCATCACGCAGGCCCAAATGGTCCCTCCCTTTGCTGACCTCCCAAGCCCCAGACTGTTATCAATAATGATAACGGCATCTCTTGAAAGCCACTACCTGGGCACCTCACCCTCACAATAGCACTGTATGGCAGGTGCCCGGACAAGCTAAGCCATTAGTTTAGGTAAGTAGAGGAAAGGCTGGAATTCAAGGTCCATCTGTCAAAGAACAGGAGCAGTGATTTTGAAGTGTCTCCTTTCCTGCCAAATATCTGTGTCCCTAAGGATCAAAGAGGGGCTATGCTTCTCCAGAGGTCCTGCACCCTTTCCTCCAACAGAGTACTGAGAAGAGGCCCCAAGCACCAGCACTTCATCAAACACCAGACCAAGACCCACCGGTGCCAGAACCGTGCTCGGCTCAGAGCAGAACCCCTAGTCTGATAGTCACAGAGTCATTTCTCTCCTCTGGGTTTTCCAGAGTCCTGTGAGATGTCCACCAGCACATTCCAGAAGGGAGAGTAAATCTAGTGCAGTAAAGCAAGGCCTTTCCCAGTGGGCTCTGCGGCTATGGCTGTCACGGGCTCCCCTGGGTAAGAGGAGCACACTCTTCCACCACGGGGCAGACCAGACCCATGGGCAGCCCCAGCAGGGAGCCGCCACTTCCTCACAGGCAGACTCACACAGGGATCCAAAGCCATCCACCTCTGACCTCCCAAAGCATGTCCTGAGTGGGTACTTGTTGCTGCTTGACATCAGGACAGTCACCTCCTCGAGCTCCAGCCCCATCCCATCTGGCTGAACCCTCCCCAGATCCCCCCAACCTCGACCTCACCTCAGGACTGACTGCATAATTTCCAGAGCCTAATACAAAAGAAAAGATGCAAGGCCCTCTGTTCAAACATTATCAATCTCTGGTTAACAATCATTTTTTTGTACATTTCAAATAGCTAGAAGACGTTTCCAACACAAAGAAATGATAAATGTTTGAGGTAATAGATATGCTAATTACTTTGATTTAATCCTTGCACCTTGTATACACGTACTAAAATATCACACTGTACCACATGAATATGTACAATTATTGTGTCAATTTAAATGTTACAAAGTCATGTTCTTAGAAGCCAGATGCTTATGTTTCCTTGAAAGAAACTCCCAGAACATATTATGGCACTTAGGAGGTACAGTGGCACCCCCCTTATCTGTGGGGGATATGTTCCAAGACCCCCAATGGATGTCTGAGCCATGGCTAGTACCAAAGCCTCCGTAGCCTCTTTTTTCCTATAATTACATACCTATGATAAAGTTGTAAATTAGGCACAGTATCAGTACACCGTTTTTTTTCTTTCCTTATTAAATCTAACACTTTCACTTTTTCACTTAAAGGAAGCACTCTATGGCTTCTCATTGGCATACGTATACAAATTGCCAGCATCACTAATCATGTGCTTTGGGGCCATTATTAAGCAAAATAAGGGTTATGTAACCACAAGCACCATGATACCATGACAGTGACACAGAAGGCCACTGACTAAAGGACAGGTAGTGATTACAGTGCTGATATGCTGGACAAAGGTGTGGTTCATGTCCCAGGCATACAGAGGGAGATGCTGAAAGATCTCATCATACTACTCAGAATGGCCTACAATTTAAAATCTAGGAATCATTTATTTCTGGAATTTCCCACTTAAATATTTTCCGTTTACTATTTTTAACCACATTCTACCTTGGGTACCTCAAACCAAAAGCGAAACTACAGATAAGGGAGGACTACTATACTCAAATACAGTTGATTCATTAATTAGTATTAGGGTCTTAAAGAACCCTCTGAGAACATGCTGTCTTTATTCATTCACTGAGCCCCCTGCTGAGCACCATGGGAGAAAAGAGATTTGGCCAGGTGTGGTTCCTTGTCTTCATGAGCAGAATTCAATCATTTCGTGGCCTAGCCACTGTGTACTTATCAAATATTTACTATGTACTATGTATTGAAGGGTGGTGGGGGTCCCTCTGGAAACCCACAGTCTACAAGGAAGGTAGAAATTGCCTGACCTTAGCACTGTACTAGAGGGACACACAGCAGACCCTGAGGGCACCCCCAAAGGGGCACTTCTCCAATGCTCAGAGGTGGAAGACCCCTGACCAAAACCTCTTAGGGAGCTCATGGAAAATTGCAAGTTGTTATTAAGTAACACAACATGGGCTGCTTACACCCCTGCTGACAGCGCCCTGGGCCATGGATGAGTGATGAGCCAGGCCAGCAAAGACAGAGAGCTCCAAGGTCAGAAAAATTGAGAACACTGGGGAAATTCGGGGGCAGCCCAGGAACAGCAGCCATGCCCACAGGGAACATCACAGCTCCCTCCCTCTCCCTGGTCTCCACCTCCAGGGAGTCAGCCAGCAAAGGAGTCCCCATCCCCAATTTCCCTGTCCAGGAGGAAGACTACCAAAGCCTTTCATACTCACCCTCCCCGCCCCCAACACACACATACGAGGAAGACATCATGCTGCTTTTGGAGCTCTTAGGGGTTTTCTTCTTCACCCATTTCCAAAAAGTTGCATGGGTATTCTTGGAGGTCATCAGGGAAGCAATAAAACCCAAAGCAAGTTTCTTGTTTCTAAGGCTGTATCTCCCTGAGACCCCTGTGGGAGACGGCTCTGTGCCTTACCACCAGGGGGCAGCAAAGAGCCTTTGCCTCAGCCCAGGGCTCTCTGTGGTCCCTGAGACCACATGAGAATAGTGACTGATGAAATTCCTGCTTATTGTGAGCCAGTCCCTGTGCTGAGGCGGTGTGTGCCTCAACTCACTGAATCCTGTAACAACCACAGCAGTTCACAGATGAGGAAACTGAGGCTCCTTGAGGTGAACACATCACCCACATTCACCCAGCTGGAAGGTGGTAGAGACAGGATTTTAAGCGGATTTTGTTCTAAAGGATGCATTATTGTTCCTGTCTACCGTAGCCCATGGAAATCCATTGTGATGGCAAGCTCTGGCCACCAGGGCCTAGCTCTAGGCTTATCCCTTGTTGATTGAATGGAGATGAATCATCCAGTTCTCATGGGCCACCCAGACAACCAGCAATAGTCAGATTTAGTTTATCTTTGAAAGGTGGAACCCAGGTGCTTCTCTGGGGTTTCTCTCTAGGCTCAGCAAAGTGAGCCTAGAACCATGAAAGTGCTGGATGGGCCCTATTTGACAGATACAAATTCTCCTGGAGTAAAAGAAGCAGCCAGGAGGTCCCCTCCCAATACCAAGTAAACAGAAGCAGAAAAATGACCACAATGTCATCAGGTTCCACTTTACACTTCAGTTAGGAGCAAGTCAATATTGGTTTCAAAATTAATTCAAAGCCAGATTTAAAATAATCAGCTCCATCTCACAGAGAGGACAGAGTGGTATTTGGGGATGAACGGTAGGCGTGTCTAATTAGACACAACTGGCACCTCACCTACTATTAAAAGCCATTCCCAGAGCCGTGGGAAGGGGAAGCCATGGGCTTTCCAGCAACCATTGCTTCCTCAAAGGCAGCCCTCGCACACAAATCACTTCTACATTGAAAAACTTCTTTCCTCCTGAAATAATTCCTTGCAAACTCAGACTGGAGTCAGTATGAGTATTCATACTGACTTCAGCCA